AATGCGAAGGTTCTTGATTCCACATATCAGAACTGGCCAAGCAGATGCCTTGCACAGAACACCAAATAGACCAATGTAAAGCAGAAATTTTGCAAGATTTTATGAGTAAATCGAAGATCAGGTAATCCATATATATCAGATAATGGTCAACAATGGTCAGTGCTCTATGGAAAGAACGAATGTTTGAAGCTTTTGGGTAGAATCATACATGGAAGGGCAGCAAATACTATTGTGCAGGAGCTTGCTAGCCTTGAATCTTGCCATGATAATAATGTATAACATGACCCATCAGTGGAGCATATGAAGGCCATGACCCGCATCGGTATTGCGATAACAAAGACGTGACTACGTAAATGAGGCTGTTAGGTCAAAACCGCACTTTTAACCATGCAATGAAGATATCGAATAGTTAACCAAAACGTCTCGAGTGCACGGTCAGGCTGAGTAGGATTGCAACCATTTTCTTGCTTAGTGAATCCGCAAAACGAAGATTCATGCCCCGATAACGCCTGTCACGTGGCAGAGGAAAACTTAGCACTGATTAATCAGTCACGGGATATTATGCCGAGAATTCATTTCCACAAAGCTTCAAGGCAATCCTCAGTTTCTGAAAAACGTACTTGATGAATCCCTCCAATTCACATGAGGGCTCATTACACGAACCCAAGTTAGGCCATTCAATCGGAATTTGCATTGTTTGTTTGGTTATTCATTGTTTTCCTCCATGTTAACAGTCAGGTGAAATGACTGCGAATATCTAGGAAAAGCATTAAATAGCAAACTAGAATAATCAGGCCTCGTTACTAGAATGAAATCTAGACGCAAGTGGGTAGGATTACAGCCAGCAACCACGTCTTATTGCCTGGATTACGGACTCATCGGGGTCATATGAGGGTACTCCGATGACTATCTTTAAGCGTGGGGGCAAACCTTCGATTTCCAGTAGTGCCACCTCAGGAGTCTCCTTCATCCACGTACTTGAAATAAGGAAGGTACGGGAAAATTGATCTAAGAGGAAACTTCGAAACTCAGCTTCTCCTTAGTCTTTGATTGCCCTTTTCATGAACATGATCATGCCTATTATTCATAGCTATACCGTCAACGTGAGTACCTAAACCAATTTTAATTTAGTTCTACATTTATGTGTCAGAAAGGTAGAGAAAAGTAAGGTTACGGAAATCCTATATGCTAAGACTACGGTACGCATTTACACAATCCACATAAGTCGACAAGTAGGCTTGTTATTTTTTCGCCTTTCCGTCCTGTATCCACAAGCTCTCATCATAATCACATGAAGATAAACTAAAAGATGAAATTATATAATGGTCTATTATGGAGCTGTGAGAAGCCTTCAAACAAAAGGCCACCTAAATTATATCGTATTTAGTATTTATACTGTTATGACCATGTAAGGTTAGATATTCGTATTTTGGATCTACACTAGTCTATATAAGCTGATATTCTATTTGAATATACCTAAAGTCCTAAACTGAAAGGAAAATCACGAATTATATAAATTGAGTTAAAAAACGTTTATCATCAGAAATTTAACTCGTATTCGCCAGCCCATCAATTTAGATGCAACGAATAAACAATTTAAGAAAAATGTAAATAAACAACTCGCTTCATCCACATTTTGATAGGTTACTTGATACACAGTGAGGCCCTAAAGTGAAATCGACTATCGACTGAAAGAGGGAAGCAATTAAGATACAATCGCGCTAACTCGAAATGATACCAAAAGAGCGCATATGGGACATGGAGAGAATGCACAATGGTCCACTGCACAAATCGTTTTCTTGGCTTGACAGGGAAAGTTGACAAAAAACGCCAAACAGTCACTGGCTAGTGAAGCATCAATGCTTGTCATCATGCGGCTTGTCGCTGTCACAAGATGCGTTATCTCTAGGTTTATCAGGAGTCTCTGGTGATTTCGCCTCATCTTTTTTCAATGGCTCAGTAGGCACAGTTAAGGATGGAATCGGGTCGGTCTCCATGGGCTCGTGATTTGCTTCATCGCTTTGTTTCAACTCCTCCTTGGCCGTACTCTTAACATCTACTGACTTTGAGTCAGATGATTGGCCACCGGGAACAGATGTGGACCCAGAAGCTGGTATCGCTGCTTCTGGCTGGCTGGCATCCTCTACGTCGAATTCATCGTCATCTGCTTCAACGTAAAGAAACGGCTCAGGCGGGCTAGGCGAGGCTGCTGAAGCCGACACTTGGCGACCACCAGCAGCACGCGTCAGTCGGCCACGCAGCTTTTTTCCTTTAGACCGCTTCTTACTCGACGTCTGTCGTGAATGGGCACTAGTAACTACTGTTCCCGCTGCGTCGGCGGCAGCCATTGCAATAGCACTATTGCCAACAAGTTTTATAGCCGCTTCCATCGCCTCAACGTCTTCTAAGAAGTCTGTCTCATCTTCATCATCGTCTTCGTCATCATCGTCCTCTTCCTCCTCCACATCATCCTCATCATCCACCTCTTCATCCTCCCCAGCCTCTTCGTCTTCTTCATCGTCGTCTTCATCTTCATCTTCGTCTCCATCTTCATCTAATTCATCATCATCTTCTTCTCCAGCCACCACGATGACACCGCTACCACCCTCTTCTTCATCCTCCTCATCTTCCTCATCAGTGTCAGCGTCGTCCATAAACACACCGATTGTTGAAGCATGAATTCTTTTGTCATCTGAACCGAGACCACTGGCAGTCGAGGATGAGCCAGCTGATACAAGTGCAGTCCTGCCTGACTTAAGTCCTGCGCCAGGTCGCCCGGTGAGTCCACTACCCACTGAGCCACTGTGGCCAGAGGCCACAGAACTCGTGTGGTTGTGGCCATGTAGCGTTTCTACAAGGTTTTCCTTCTCTTGGGGACGACGGTCATGCACGAGAAGGATGCCAGCCTGTAAAGAAAATATAAAGTAAATAAAAGAACAATGGCACGATCATGAGAAAGCTGAGCAGATGCCATTAATATAAGAATGCTTATTTTTTGGGGAAGAGATAGCGGAATAGGTATTAGTTTTTGAGCGTAATTTACTTTAATCCCAGATATGGTGACCAAGATGTGACTTATATTTTAGTCGCAGTCTACTTTCCCTGTATATAAGTGATTTGAGCTCATTTTCGCAATTTATTAGAGTTGTCAGGGCGGCATAGTTAAACGCACCTTGTCCGATGTTCTTTGCTATAATATTTATGCTAGTTCCCAGCGTCTGAATATGGACTTGATATCCACCAGACGTCTCGCCGACATCGTCCATGAATCTTGCCAGTCATAGCATCATGCTACAACTTGTCAGAGACAAACGTATCTTGATAGTAAGAATGACAAGACTCACTGGAAATGCAGACTACGATGCAGGCGAAACTTCTGTTAATGTACCGAGACTACGGTCCGATGCTTTGAATTATCAAAGCTACCATAGC